GGGAGACTGTTTTCAGCGTCAGCTGCAACCATGACCATTTTAAAGGCCCAAGTCAGAGCCCTAGCTGGATTTTCCAACCTCTCCCATTGAACTGCAGCACAACAGGTCAGTCACTTGATTGGTCGTTCCTTCCCTGTGTGTGAGATCTGATCAGAAATACTTGATCGGGAATGGTCAGACTAGAGCTGGGCTGAGTTTCTTAAAGCAGATCCCAGTATCTCCACTATCAGGATTTGAGGATTCCTGAAATTAAATTCCATGTACACTGTTGTGAGAATGTATGAGGTGGAGGATGTTTTATTTGCTGTTATGTAAATTTTCAGATAACGAGGTAATTCCCATTCGTACAGAGTTGCAATTATAATTAAAATTTGGTTCAATAAAAGACAAAGCAAACACTTTCATAATCCGTTTCATTTCTCAAGTTGACTTTTCTCAAGTTGATTTTTCTTTTTATAAATTTATTTATTTTTGACTGCATCGGGTCTTCGTTGCTGCGCGCGGGCTTTCTCTAGTTGCGGCGAGAGCGGGCTACTCTTCGTTGCGGTGTGCGGGCTTCTCATTGCAGTGGCTTCTCTTGTTGTGGAGCATGGGCTCTAGGCACACGGGCTTCAGTAGTTGTGGCACACGGGCCCAGTAGTTGTGGCTCATGGACTCTAGAGCACAGGCGCAGTAGTTGTGGCACACAGGTTAAGTTGCTCTGTGGCATGTGGGATGTTCCCAGACCAGGGATCGAACCTGTGTCCCCTGCCTTGGCAGGCGGATTCCCAACCACTGTGCCACCAGGGAAGCCCCTCAAGTTGATATCTTGATAAAACCTGATATTTCCCCAACTATTTACCATGAAAATATGATTCCCAGTTAAAATGATTGCTACGCAGTAGCCTTTTCCTGCTATCACTTGTTCTTTGAGAACTGGGACAATGTTTAGAAGTATATTCAAGGTGTAGAGGAAGGAAAACAGCAGGAAGACAAAGGCTTCCTGAAGGAGGAGGTGTCCAGCTTTGGGCTACGTCCACAAGCAAATTGAGGTGGGAAGAGGCAAATAGAGGAGTTGCTTCCCAAGGCAACTAGCGAGGCAGCCTGGGCTTTAGTGTTACATCTATGTGGGTTCAAATCCCTGTTCTGCCTCTACTTGCTGTGTGAATCAGGGCAAACTACTTAACTTCTATGAGTCTTTGATTTCTCATCTAAAGATCACTACATGGGGCTTCCCTGGTGGTGCAGTGGTTGAGAGTCCGCCTGCCGATGCAGGGGACGCGGGTTCGTGCCCCGGTCCGGGAAGATCCCACATGCTGTGGAGCAGCTGGGCCCGTGAGCCATGGCCGCTGAGCCTGCGCGTCCGGAGCCTGTGCTCCGCAACGGGAGAGGCCACAACAGTGAGAGGCCCGCGTACCGCAAAAAAAAAAAAAAAAAAAAAAATAAAGATCACTACATGGAAAAAGATAGCAACACTAAAAATAATGAGGTAATAAAGACATCTAAGTTTTGTTCTCTTTTTCAAGAACTTGGGTATAGATAGGTTAAATATGATACGTGTATGGCTGTTAGCCAGAACTGGTGTCATCTTGGGCCCTTACAATTTCTCCTGTCCTTTCACTGACCCTACCCAGGACTGTACTGTGCAGTGAATCACTTCTCTGTTGTCAAGGGCTTTGTAGTTAATAGATATTGTTTAATAATCACTAGGACCAGGTGGCCACTATGCTCCGTTAGTCCCCAAACAATAATGAAAACCTTCCCTGACATATTCTGGTGCTCATGAGACTAGTTAACCTGTTCATAAATCTTAGCTTAGGAATGCATGTCCCTTATCTAAGCACGTACCCCCCCAAACCCTAGGTAAACTAAAATTGTTCCAAAGGCCCCTTGGTGGTATGGAGTGCAGCTGTGAATGCTTCCGGATCGTTGACTGCCTGCTTCAGATCCCACCCTGTAAGTTACCATATAATAAACTGATCCACTGATTATATGGAGCCACCTTATTTAATTATATGGAGACTTATTTTTCAGTCTCAAGATGCCTTCTCAGTTTGGTGGGCACTGTTTCCTCCATCCTCCAGCAA